GAACCAGCTGTAGAGTAGGCTAGTGTGGTAGAGTAGGCTGGGCGCTGGGCGCCAGACAGGAGAGAGCGACTTTGGATATTGTGTTGGTGTGGCCTCGGGCTTGGACATTGGCTCATTACTTCATTGTATTGCTCTTTATGGATGGTTTTCTCGGTGCATTTGTACTCTCTGCTTGGGACACGACTCCTGGTTCAGCTGTGTGATTTCGCAACTTGGTTTTATGTATATCACTCACACTCAAATTCCTTGCACATGTAAATAGGAACCCCTCCCGGGCATGACACTCACAACTAGGAACTCTCAACGCACAGCCGGCAACGCCGCCGCTGCTGGTGGAAGCCACTGTGAAGGTCAATCTTGGTAAAACATTTGGCTCCACTGATGCGATCAAGAAGCTCGGAGATCCGAGGGAGGGGATACTTGTTCGTGATCGTGATTTAATTCAAGGCCTGGTAGTCTGTGCACCTCCTTTTTTTTTTTTTTTTTTTAAACACACGCCCCCTGTAGTGCAAGTGGCGCTGATGAAGCAGACACCACTAGCACCCGGGGAGGGGCTTCCTTAGCTCTGAGGTTCCGCCTTTCTTTATGAAAAGGCAGCTTGTAGCGAAGGGGGAGGAGCTTGGCTTAATGAATCCTTTTTCAAGGAGTTCATTGAGCTGGCACTTCATTTCTTCGGCTTCCATGACGGAGAGTTGGTATGGAGAACAGCACGACGGGTTCCAGATGAATGGTATGAGATACACCACGATCCGGGGGTAATCCGACAGGTGCGAGGATCTGGGTCCTTGGCAAGCCTGAGGGGCCCCTGTTGCAAGAGTGCCCGCCCTAAGTGAAGGCGGGCCTAACAAATCACAACAGGCCCTTGGTTGTCAAATTTCGCATTTGGGGGTCCAGGCAGTTTCGTCGCGCCAGTTGGTTGAAGGGAAACACAGGCCGCGTGGAAATTCTCAGGCCTTCTAGGCCTTTGTGAAAACACAGGTCCTGGGCCAGATTCGCAGCCTCATACACAGACAGTTGGGAGGCCGAACCGAATGAGGCCCAGTAGCTGCACCAGAGGCGCAGCATCCTGGGGCCTACAGGAAGCTTCTGGGCCCAGGCCAGTCCAGCCAGGCTGCCGAACGAGGCAGGCTCTTTCCATATAGGAAAGAGCTCGCTGCCTAACGAGGGATTCGGGCACTCGCATGCTGGCGGCAGCGCTGCTGGAGCTGAAGCTCGTGGACTGCTGCTAGCGCTGAGCGGCGAGGTGCAGGCACGTGCGGTCGTGCAGGGAGCAGGGCGCTGTTGAGGGCAGCGCCATAGCCCAGCCTCCATAGCTGGCAGGGCTTGGATGTAGAGTGAGGCGCAGGGGTGGTCTTCGTGTGTACAACAAAGGGAGACGTGGGAGAGAGTCAAGGGGAAGAGAGAAGGATGATGATGATGATGATGTGAGGGCACATACCTGGTATTGGCGATGGTTCTGCATGGGCGACATCTTCAAGT